TATGCCCAGACTAATATCACTATAACTGCAGTTTTTAACTTACTTTCTTAGCTCAAATTAACACTTTTTATCTATGGAACTATTGGCATTGCAAAATACTATTACTTATAATAGTCATTTTTTAATCGGCTACATTGTGAGTGACCAGCTTTTATGAAAGTCCGATAAATCACTGATAGAAATATGCAGAAACCACTCGTTTCAGTCCGTGGACCACTGTAAAAATAGCTCTATCTTTTTTGAGTTTCCCCAAAGATAATATCCAATATTCATATTGGAAGTAAGGTTTTGAATATAGCTCTGTTGTCCACTGATACAGAATGAGAAAAACAAAATTAGCTGATAACAGTGGTGTGCTGGAGCTGGCATATACTGGCTTGTGGGAGCCAATTGTTAAATTTTCTAGAATTCTGAAAGCTAGCTGACAACAGAGTGGAGTCCCAACACCTAGTGTGCCAATCAGCTGTTTGGCAAGGTGGTGATAATGGAGCTGGCAGAGTCAGTTGCTAAATATTTATCAGTTGTTAAATATTTCCTCTGGAAGGGACCTCAGAGGTCCTCTAGTCCAACTTCCTGCTCAAGGCAGGAGACCTTACCATCCAGGTTAAATGGCTGCCCAGTATATTTTTAAAACCTCCAGTGATGAAGTATCACAATGTTCTCACTGTCAGAAAATTTCCCCTCACTTCTAGGTTGGATCTTTCTTTAACAAAGTTTTCACCTATTACTTCTTTCCTGCCCTCTGATCCTTTGGAGAATAAATCAATCTCCTCTTTTCTGTGACAGTGTAGTAGCTATATGTGTTTTTTTTCAGTTAAAGTTGTGTGTGCCAAATAAAAGAAATTGGAGCAGGGGCTTTCAACCTGCATCTCTATCGAACTTGAAAAATGTTCCAGTAGCTATGTGCTTTTTTTTTTTTTAAAAAGGACATTTGCAGCAATGATAATTTATTCTGCAAATAATACATATAAACACATCAAACATGTTGAAATGTTTTTGTGCCAAGGGTGTACATAAAGAATAATTATGCTTTTTCCTAAAGTAGTTATTGGGGTTGAGAAGAAATTAGCTGATTGATATTTTCCACAAAATATTTCAGGACTCTATCAAGTCTGTTAATTAATTCAGCTCAGAAATGATTGCTATAAAAACTCCAAAAATGCAACACTAGAGAAAAGTAGCCAGTATAAAGAAATAATAACAGGATCCCTTCCCCCTCAAAAATACACTGTAATTGGTTAGGGCAGGGGTAGGCAACCTTGGCTCTTTTATGACTCATGGACTTCAATTCCCAGAATTCCTGAGCCAGCATGGCTCAGCTTGGAAACCTCTCCCTTTTCCCTCAGCATGGCTGGCTCAGGAATTCTGGGAGTTGAAGTTCACGAGTCATAAAAGAGCCAAGGTTGTCTACCCCTGGGTTAGGGAAATAAAATTATTTCCAAATCATTCTGTTTTATCTTGAAGTCTCTTATCTGACTAAACCTAACACATTCAGTATTTCCAGTCTCTACTATTACCACAGTTTCAGATAATCCAACAGAGTTTAGACAATGTTATAGCTCTGAATGATAAAGAAGCTAGTGTACAAATACAGTTTCCTGTCATTCCCTGCATTTTTGAAATTCAGAGTGTGTAATCTTTTATATAGCAAAAATAGCTCTGGATTAAGAAAACTACTATTTGGAGAAGCACAAAAGTTCCAAAGACAATGGGACTGAAGAAACAGCTAAAGAGCCATAAAAAAAACTGTTAGGAAAAGGAAATAGTATCTGATGATAGGAATACACTTTAGTTGTTGGCGGTGTCATTTGTTTTGCCTCATAGTATCCTTTTCATTTACTCAACAAGTGAATTATTTCAGTGAATTCTTACCCCAACAGATAAATAATTGTCTTTTCAGGAAGTTGTATATTTGTAAACATGCAGGGTTTTTAGGATATTTCCTTGTAACTATAAAATAATTCAAAATTTCAACTTACATTTTAAATATTCTGGGGTCAATGAATCACTTTCCAAAAGATGTATGGATAGTATTTTATAAACCTCTGAATGTTCCCCCTCAGGGACAAAATTAAATATACTCTGATCCACAAGGTCAGACTAAATGAGAAAAAAAAACAGATTGAAAACTAAAATGCAGTATTAATGAATCTCACTTTTTAATATAAAATCAAGCTGTCAAAGAGAAAAAATATATACATTCTGTAGCACATGATCAGGTATGCTACATCAGTATTAATTTAGATGTGGCTAATAAAGGTTACTATATTCCCATTATTAGTTGTGTTCTAGTCCCATGAATATAGATTGCACTGAACTCTTCAGTGGAGGAATTATAGTATCCAACTTTAAAGTAGCAGTTGTGAAACCTCTGTGAAAAAGCTACCTGTCTGCTGGATGAGTGACAATGGGCCAGTCACCTACTCAGACTCATGACAAACTACTTTTAAAAATTGCCTTGTTGTCGCTAGGAGTCAAAAGTGACTTTAAAAAAAAAACAGTTTTCTACTGCATTGTCTGCTTTATTATAGAAGTCTTTCTTATAGTAATTTCTATATGGATATATAGCATAAAATAACCTCCCTTGACTTTTGGATTTCAAGTAATGAAATACTGGTTCAGAGTATTCATTTTCAAGTATTCTGAAAAATACATGTATAGTCAGTAGGATTTTCTACTCGTTTCCTTTCAGGGGCAAAACTTCATGCCACAGTACAAATATTTTTAGCTTCATAATGTATGAATGTGGGACAAGCTCTTGAGACTGCCTGTCTGGTTAGATGAAACTACTGGTACAAAGTTTGGACTTGGATCAGTGAAGTGTACAGAAGTACATATTTGCCAGCATATTTCAATTCACACATACAGTAGTGGCCAAAATTGTGGAAACCTTTTGGGAAAAGTGTGTTTTTGAGGTTTGATGGCTAATAACACCACTTTTATTTGGAGTAATACCATAAAATTATATATCAATGGAAAGATAATTTAATCAAGAATGTAATGCAGGGGTAGTCAACCTTGGCTCTTTTATGACTCGTGGACTTCAACTCCCAGAATTCCTGAGCCAGCTTAGCTGGCTCAGGAATTCTGGGAGTTGAAGTCCACGAGTCATAAAAGAGCCAAGGTTGACTACCCCTGATGTAATGCAACATAGTTTGTTCAATTATCTGTACTGCATTCTATGAAAAGTTATAGCCAAATAACCAGAAAAAGGAAGCACAACTTGCTTAGGTTGATCTCAAGTAGCTTTCCTTCATATGATGGTAGCCAATGAGCACAAATGTTTAGAGAGCCAATCAGGTGTCATCTTGTTTTGGCAATGAGCCAATCAGATCAGAGTAGGATTCAGTTATTGATGTCATGTATTGAAGCTGAGAGGAGGACATTTGTCAGGGTGTTATGTGATCGCTATCAAGCTGGTTGGGGTTTTTTGTGTTCTTTCATTGAGTGAGCTTGTAAAACGTAATAAAATTAAAGTAATGGTGCAAAGAGTTGACTGGTTGCCCAGAAAGCGATGTAAAATAGTATTATTAAGTGAACAAGGCTACAGTTATAAAGAAATTAAAAGAAAAATGGGTGGAAACTTAACCAAAGGTGGCATTTCTACTGTACACTTTTCCCAAAAGGTTTCCACAATTTTGGCCACTACTGTACAAGCATCTATCCTTCCATTCTATTATTATCATTTGTTTATCCACTTTTCCAATCTTTAGTATATAAAAAACTGCAACAAATTTTATGTCAGGTTTATTTTTGCCAGATAACACTCCATATCTTAATATACTTCTTTTGAAGCTAGTTTGTGCTATTGCATGAAATTCTATTCAATGAAAAAAAAAGTTTTCAAAAACCAGAAGCCTTCTCTTAAGATGATTACATTGGTTCTAGCCATCAATATTGATGAAAGTGAGCATTTAAAGAGAATACATGCTTATATAAACTGCATTTTATTCTTCAATGTCTGAAAGGAAAGCATAGGGCAAGTTTTGAAAATGGCCAGCCTAACACTAGTATAGTGGAAAGGTAGGTTAAAGATCTTCAGCTGAGTATCTTCCTTTCGTGATGTCAACCAGAGATACCCCTAGTAGTCTGCATGGGGAGGATACATGCATGGGGATTATTATATGCCATCACATTCCATCTGATCCTTCAATAATTTATTAATAATCTGTTAGTACTTGCAAAAAATATGTTACTTTCTCTACCCAGAGGCCAATTCAGGAACATGAAGAACTTGCTGGATTTACACAGGCATTCCTCCATGCTCCTTGCAGCATGTGTTTGCATATAGGCAGCAATATAGGTTTAAAACTTTTATTGTCCTTTTCCTATTTATTTATTTAATTAATTTATGTGTCTTGTTTGCCAGCTGAGTCGTAATGGACTCCTAAGTAACTTATAAAATGTATAGTAAAAAAAATCAAGATTATGATTACTTTAAACAATAAAATATACAACCCAATTAGCCAAACGAATATTAAAAGTGACACGCCGAAACTGTTTAGTATGGCATCACTGATAATAATTCATCCCTAAGACCTTCTGGAAAAATCTATGCTTTTTAGGAATGGGATGAGGTTGGGGGGTCTTCAAACAGAGGGGAGCTACTGCAGAGAATGACCATGTCTGGCTTCCTATAAGGATCTTTAACAAATAGTCCCTAGTCCAGTGGTGGCGAACCTATGGCACGCGTGCCAGAGGCGGTACTCAGAGCCCTCTCTGTGGGCACGCGCGCCATGCCCTGGAGATGGCAACCGTCCCTCTTCAACCAGCCGCCCGCTAACTCACCGAGGTCCCACGTGGCCGGATGCATCCCAGCACGGCTGGTTTCCCTCCCCCCAGCCCTGTCCCTCCTGGCCTCGCATGCTCTCCTTTTCCCGGGGACGACCCACTGCATCGCCTCCTCAGCTGTCGGCCGGCCATCCAGCTCAGAGGCGGCTTCTCTGAACTGCTGGCGGTGGGCTGCAGAGCCCCAGAGTGCGCCGGTTGAGGGGCCGGTAGGCTGTGGCTGCTGACGGACACTGTCGGCCCCCATGCGCTCGCTGGCCTCTGTGTGTGGGGGCCGATGGTGTCAGGCAGCAGCCGCCCCAGCCCCTGCCTCACCTTGCCCTGCGACAATGGCACCCCCGCCCTGCCTCGCCTTGCTTCACCTCACCCCGCAGGACGAGCCTCCTGCCCATCGCGCCCCACCTGCCAGAGACCCCCCTGGATCTCCCCCAATCCTGCCCGGCCCCCACAGGCGTCCCTCCCCACGAGCAACATTGAGGTGACCATGCCCACCTTGGCCACACCCACCCAATCTGCCATGACCACTATAGCCACACCCACCCAGTTGGCCACACCTACCTGGCACCCGGCAATAAATAAGTGGGTTTTGGGTTGCAGTTTGGGCACTCGGTCTCTAAAAGGTTCGCCATCACTGCCCTAGTCAGTTAAGGGAGACCAAATCCGTAGAGGTTATATACCTAGCTATATCATGGTGACCTCACAACGCTAATACTGCAACTGCCACAGTTGCTTAATATACCGCAATGCTGGACAAACACTGGTGAATGGAACAGGCCCTGGTTTTAGGCCTGACAGAGCTGGGGTGTATCATTTTCTGAGTTCTCCAGAAACCTTCCTGTCACAGCACTGACCTTAGAGAAACTATAGTACAAGACAGACCAGTCTTTCCTAGGCTGGTGCCCTCCCGGTGCAATGAATTTCAACTCACATAATTCACAGGAAGCCTGGCCTGAGAGGAAACCCAACACATCGAGAGGGCACCAGAGTGGTGGAAAGCTGAGAGTAACACAGTAGGAGTTCCACTGAGAAAAAACAACAAAATCTTTAAAAAGATGAGAATGCTGTTTAAATTCCAGATTCTTAAATGGCAGATGGTAAATTGCCCATCAAATGACTTTAGAAGTTTGGTATCTCTCTGAAAGTGTATACTTACTGGCAAATGTTCAAGTAAGGGGGTTACACTTTCTGATACATATATTATACTTCCATCTGTCATGATTGCTAGAAAAAAACCATCAAGAGCCTGAAATTAAACAAAAGAAACAGTTAGAGATAAACTGGTCTCTAACTGTTAATTTAGTTAACATTCAGTAAAAGGAAATAACTTAATTGAACGTAAAAGTAAACCTGCTTTCCATGGTGAATAATATATAGTTGGCAATGCTGAACATTATCTAAATAGAAGATCCCGGGTTAGGTTGGGAAAATGTACAGTATATTATTGCTGAGATTATTTTTATCTAATTTTTCAGTCTAAAAGACTCTCAACAGGGCTAGAGTTTATTTTAGATAAAAATTAAGAAGGCTGAAATTCGAATAACTTAAATAAAATATTAGCAAAAATATTATTTCAAAAAACCAGAAGAAACAAAAAACCAGTAGAAATCAGCAATCGGGAACTGAAGTAATAAATTACAATGTTATGAATTCCCAGGGGGGAAAAAAGGCTCTGTTGTTATTTATATATATATATAAATAACAAAAAAAAAAGACTAATTCTGCATGCCTTCTCAGACAATGGTAAAACAACAGTAAAGAAATAAAAGTCTTCCCGTTTCAAAAGTCAGCCAAGTCATGGAAAAATGGAAAGCATTTTCTATAAGCTAGACTCAATCTTCTGGGCTTTGAAAAGTGATAAGATACATTAAAGCAGGAGTCCAACATTAGTCCAAGAGCCAATTTAATCTTACAAATATACAAATATTATATTCCAAATAATAAACAAGGCATCTTCCCTCCACTTTCCCTGAATAGCATTCTGCGTAAGTGACATTTCTTTGGAGCATATTTTAACATACTGTTAATAAAAAATGCACTTTAAGGATAATGTAAAGCTAAAAAGTTACGTTCAACTGTGCCAATGTAGTATAAAAAAGTAACAACAACAATAGTCTAATCACATATTTTAAGATAAAAACACATTACCTCTAACATTAACTGAGTGAATTCTTCATTACTAAGGAATGTGGGTTTCCAGTCCTGTCGAATCTCACTGGCATCTGACTGGGCAGTGATTTCTACAAAAGAATAGAAATTTTCTGTCTATAAAGATGATCTACTGCACCCCACCACCTTTGTGTGCTGCTAACAATCCTGTTATTCTAAATGGGGAGAAGGCAATGAGCTATGTGTAAAGACCAAAAATGAGAGTACTGAGTCAGTCAAACAGATGAAAAACAAAAGGTTCACTTCGCAAGATTGCTCAGTTTGCATTTTGCTTCAAAGTGTCTGGCCAGGATCCTACAAGACTATTATTTTCCAACAGCAAAAGTCCATTCTCCATGCAAATGAAGTGAGTTGTTAATCCTTTGTTAAGGTCCAAAATTGCATCCAGCTAACCAGTGCTTTTTTTCTAAAAAAAAAAAAAAAAACAGGTGCTGGAATTCACACACGTCATACAACCCGCCTTGCCTACTCTATAAGGTTCCATCCAAAAAAGGTACCGGAACTCCGTTCTGGGCGTTCTATGAGAAAAAAAGGCCTGCAGCTAACTAACATAATAGCTTACTTGACCTTAAATTGCTCTTTAGATGGAGAATACATTATTTGCAGCTACCAAAAATATAACTAAAATTCACTTTAAATTCTGGCTGCAGCCAAACAATTCTTATTTTTTATCAGTATTACGCTGCAAATCAATAAAGCCTCACCAACATAAGCTAAACTTAAAATCTTATTTAAATTAACTTGCATGGGATAGAAGTTCTATAGCAGACATGTCAAACTCACGACGTCACATGACGTCACGCAACGTATCGGGACAGTTTTGCCATTGCCGGCAATGGAGTGGGCACGGCTTCCACGTGATACGTCCGGCCCACGGGCCGGCAGTTTGACACCCCTGTTCTATAGAGAAAGGGATAAGGGAAAACTTTCATCTGATCTGTCAATCAAACCTAAACCAATCAATCCAAATGGTGAGCAGAAGAATCAGTCAAAACCAAGAAAAGGTGGGCTTAAAAAAAGGACAGGGAAATTCTATTTGGTATAACTTCTTTTTTAAGGGGGGGGAGTAGAGCAGCTTTCCAGTTAGCACACAGCCAAGTGAGCAAGACTCTACTTCTCAGGGAATTGGAAAATGGAGATACAGGAAATATTTAGCAATTTAAGAACTAGTGGAAGTAGAAATGAATTAGAATCTACTTTCTGTAGAGTCCTACTTTTATTAAAAATTGATTTTAATGAAGTCCTTGGCCTCCAATTTTCTGTATTGGTTCTGTGTGCATGCTTATTCTGGGCTAAAAATAAACAGCCCTTTCGCTTAATTCCTTCCTATATTTGTCTTTCACATGTATCACTTATAACTTAAGTGGATATTTTTTTTAACTTTTTCCCAAAATCAGTCCACCCATTCTGGAAGAACTTCAATTATAGCACACACTTCTTGCTGGGCTAAGCTACTGGGGAAATGGATAGGACAGTGGTGACGAACCTATGGCACGCGTGCCAGAGGCGGCACTCGGAGCCCTCTCTGTGGGCATGCACGCCGTCGCCCCAGCCTCGCCTCCCCCCGCGGCCCCAAGGCGCGGCCCGTGCAGAGCAGCACGGCCATGCCCATGGCAGCTGGGCAACAGGGACAAGACTCCGCCCTCATGCCCCAGATGATGCTGCGGGGCACGGGCAGAGGGCATCGCCACCAAGGTGCTGCAGGGCTGCCTGGGCAATCTGCAGCGGGCCATGGAGGCGGGTGGCCCTGCGGGCGGGGGATGGAGCAGGGGCAGGCAGGGCTGGGGTGGAGGCAGAGTGGGGGCAGGGTGGGGCAGTTTTGGGGCACTCGATCTCTAAAAGGTTCGCCATCACTGGGATAGGAGATCTGTCTTTTGACTCCCTTCAAGTAAAAGTCCAAACTTATTGATATAGAGGCCTTGTTATGAAAACCGGTTTGGCATAAAAGGAAAGCTAGAATAAGATTTAAGAATGTGACTTAAGATTTTATGTAATGGGTTTAAAAGGCTTATTAGATATGGATTGATTTATGGCTTAAGACAGTTAAATAAAAGGTTAGATTGAATAAAAATTAATTAAAGGTTTGAACTTAATAATAAGTTGTTTTGTCTATGTATTAATATGTTTTGGATACAGTAACTTTGGGAGGACGTTAAAGAAATTTGATACAGATAGTGAGGGATTGATTGTTAGATTATAAAGAATAATAGAAATAGAAAGATATTTTTTCTCTTTTCTTTTTTTTGTTTTGTTTCTGTTTTTTTCTTCTTTGTTCCTTTTTTTCCTTTCTGATTTGAACTAATATTTTCTTTTCTTATTAGAACTGATAGTCATTTTGTAATGGAAGAGGAATAGGAAAAAAGAAGTAATGATATTAATAAATGTCTATTGAATATGTTAAGGGAAAAGGTTATGGGGAGACTCCCGAAGTGTTAACTAGGTATTTAGATTAGAAATATGGAATATAGCAAGTGACATAGTTAAACTTAATACAGGATCTGGATTCGTGGATTTATTTAGAGAAAGATATTGAGGATTGTTATGATTGATTTAGTTGTATTGAAATATATCAATATGAATATAATATGTCATTAGAGGGAAAAGAGAGGAGGTTTTTAATGACTTAATCTGAACTTTATGAGTATGACTTTGTTTTGTGGACAATTGATTGCCCTGCCACCACGTTGTTTCTTAAGCACTTTTGTAAAATGAAAAAACCAATAAAACGTTTGTTTTTTTTTTTAAAAAGTAAAAGTCCACAGAGAGGGATTTTGTCTGGAATGAAGTGGACAACAACATTTACTATGTAAGCTTTCACAAGAAGAGGTGAGAATTATACATCTAAAACAGTGGTTCTCAACCTTTTTAATGCCGCGACCCCAACCGGTCATAAGTCGAGGACTAAACTGGTCGTACGTCGAGGACTAAACCGGTCATAAGTCGAGGACTAAACCGGTCATAAGTCAAGGACTACCCAACCGGTCGTAAGTCGAGGACTTTCCCTGCCCGGGAGCACCGCGCATGCGTGGTTCCGCCCCCTGCGCCGGCCGAGGCGTAGCTGGCAAGCGGCAGAGACAGAGCAGGCCGACCACCAGCTGGCCCAGCCCAAGGGAGGTAAGGCACCCGCCGGAAAAGGGGAAAAAAATGGCGGAAAAAAAAATGGCGGACAAAAAATGGCGGACAGCCTTGCTTGGCAACCCCCATGAAATGGTCGATTGACCCCAAATGGGGTCCCGACCCACAGGTTGAGAACCACTGATCTAAAACATTCCTCATGAGAATCATGGGGCTAATTCACCTGTTTGCATATGTGCATATATGTTTTTTTTTGCGGTCATGTTTATATAACTCTAATAAATTCAGTAATTTCACTAAAGAAAGACTTTTAGAAATTAGTCACTGTAAATAGCAATAGAACGTAAGACTTATATACCGCGTCATAGTGCTTTACTGCTCTCTCTAAGTGATTTACAGAGTCAGTATATTGCCTCCAACAATCTGGGCCCTCATTTTAGTGACCTTGGAAGGATGGAAGGCTGAATCAATCTTCAGCCGGTCAGGATTGAACTGCGCAGAGTTAGCCTGCAATACTGCATTCTAACCACTGCAACACCAGGGCTCAAGGTAAAGAAAAGTTGAACGTATTGTCAAAACATTTCTTGTTTGCTATAACGTAACCAGTTACCTTCAAAAGCATGATAACTTTCACAAAATTTTTGTGTTCTTTTCTAGAGTTGTAAAATCCCTTGAAAAGAAGTGGTTTGCAAGGCATGGAAAACCCATAAAACACAATCATTTAAAGGCTGTATCTGCATGTATATAGTTTCGACTAGAAAAAAAATGAAGCAAAGAGGCTATGTACACATCTATGTGGAGACAGCCAGAAACTACTTACAAAGCAGCTGTGCAAGCTTGAAAAAGATGTGGCTGCTTTAAAAATTCAAAGAGGAGTGCTCTTTATCTATTGTTACACTTTGTGAAGCACCTCTTTCAAAGGATTTGCTTAATCTTACTATTTTTCATCTTTGAAATGTTATATTTTGCAGCGGTGGTTGTTGCTTATGGTCTATCCATTTAAAGTATTAGTTCCAGTGGCTTCTCAATAACTCATCTGCCAAGGTCTATAAATGTTATATACTGGGATAGGGAGGAACTGAGTAAGTATTTATATATTTTGTACCATTATTTCAGAAGATTTTCCCTTGGAGCTGCACAAAGGACGATAATATATTTACAAATTTCAAAAAATGCACAATTTTTGTGTAACATCTAAAAAATTACCTTTGTGCTTCCTTAAAAAGTCAATACTCTTCTGCAATACAGTGGATTTATCCATCTTTCGAGCATTGCCTGGAAGCATGGATCCCAGTTCTTTGATGAGTATATTAAATTGATCTCTGCGTTTCTTTTCAGACTTGTTTCTTGATACTCTATTAAAAAAAATAATTATAACTAACATAAGAGAGAATGGCATTATACAAATTTTTGATGGGTAATTACACTGGATCTTGAGGAAAACATGTTATAACCACATCGCAGTCATAAAATTTAACTCTTATCACAACTAAGAGAAGAATCCAAGGTCTTGCAAAGACTAGAGCAGGGGTCGGCAACCTTAAACATTCAAAGAGCCACTTGGACCCGTTTCCCATAGAAAACACTGGGAGCCGCAAAACTTGTGCACGCATGCGCGCGCACCAAAGGGGAGAGCTTCATTGAAGATTTTAATTAAAAAGAAATAGAGGCTGCTGTGCATGAGTTCTCTCTTTCTCTCTCCCTCTCTCTCTCTCCCCCCCTCCCTCTCTCCGATCTTCTGCTCATCTGGCCAGCTGGCCTGACACTGTTCTCCAAAAAGCTGACACACATTCTTATTGGGCTGGCTCTCTCCTGCCCTTGGTCTTCCAGTCCTCTTCCCCCACTGTGTGTGTGTGTGTGTGTGTGTGTGTGTGTGTGTGTGAGAGAGAGAGAGAGAGAGAGAGAGAGAGAGAGAGAGAGAGATGGAGATGCTGCTTTCTGCTGCTTTCTGCTTCCTGTGGAGATGCAGCAAAGGCAGGAGCCCCGCTCAATAAGCTTGTCAGCTTGTTGGAGAACAGCGTGAGGCCACTGTCTTTTTTACACACACACACACACACACACACACACAGAGAGAGAGAGAGAGAGAGAGAGAGAGAGAGAGAGAGAGAGAGAGAGAGGAGAGAGAGAGAGAGAGAGAAGGGAAGCGCAAGTGCCTCTCTCTGTCTCTGTCTCTCTACAAATGGTGGAGGCTGGGAGCCACAGGAGAAGGCTCAAAGAGCCACATGCGGCTCTGGAGTCGCGGGTTGCTGACCCGTGGATTAGAGGAATGCTGGATCTAGTAGAGAGGAGCCATGTTGGTCAAATGGATGTCCCACAATAAATCCCAAATAAAGCTTTATGGGTAAAAAAAGTAGGCAATCTTATCACTAACAGGACCTGAAATTGAGTATTTTAGGCAGTCATAAATCTGAAGCCTCCTTAATTTCTTTAGCTATCTGCCCATTTTCAAAAGTACATAACCATCAACTGACATAGTTCCTTTCCCAACCATTACTTGGTAAGAAAGAGAGTATAAATTTCCACCGGAAAATCCTACATCACTGTTTCAGAAGTTATTACAAAGCATTCCAATCCCATTACCCTCATCACCAAAAAGCTCCTCCTACTGATTTCATAAAAAATATACCGTATTTTCCGGCGTATAAGACGACTTTCTAAACCCTGAAAATCTTCTCAAAAGTCGGGGGTCGTCTTATACGCCCAGTCGTCTTATACGCCGGAAAATACGGGTATTCAGGCAGGCTTCCAGAGTTCGGCTGGCAGGATGCAGGTAACCCCTCCCCCCGTCCTGCCGCCTCCCGCCGCCTCCCACCGCGCCGCTCCGCGTCCCGCACCTCCGTGTCTCAAGCCTCTGTGTTATGCTTGGGTGGAAGACTTTTTCTTTTACAGATGGGGCGGGTGGGCCTGACATTCGCGCGCAGGCAGGACCCCGCCCGCCGAGCCACCGCTTCCCCATCACCCTCCACGCCAGCCTGCTCCGTCTCCAGACCTCCCAGCTGACGGGCGCAGGTCCGGGGGTTGCCAGCTGACGGGCGCAG